GATACCCTTTTTTGAGCGGGCAACTTCAATCCCAAGGAAATACTTCAGGAGTCCTAGATCTTTCACTTCAAATTTAGATGCAAGGAATTGTTTCAAGTTCTRTATCTYTGAGCTCYAACTTCYTGTAATGATRATATCGTCTACATACACTATCAATACAGCAACCTGTTCCTGACATCTCTTCACAAAGAGTGTATGATCAGACTGACATTGTTTAAATCCCATCTCTTGAACTGCCATGTGAAACTTACTGAACCAGGCTCTAGGAGAATGTTTTAAGCCATAGAGAGACTTTCGTAGCTTGCGCGTCTTATTTTCACTCTCCTTGGCACAAAATCCAGGAGGTTGAACCATGTATACCTCTTCTTCTAAGTCACCATTTAGGAAAGCATTCTTTATGTCCAGTTGATGCAATTCCCAGTCAAGATTAGCAKCTAAGGACAGGAGAACCCTAATTGAGTTCATCTTAGCCACCGGGGCAAAAGTCTCATCATAGTTAACCCCATATACTTGTGTGTACCCTTTAGCCACTAGTCTTATTCCTTTCAACTGTTCCATCTGCCTTATGCTTAACTGTGAACACCCATTTGCACCCCACGGGTTCTTTCCCCTTTGGAGGATCCACCAATTTCCAAGTCTGATTTTTGTGGAGGGCATTAATCTCCTCCTTCATGGCATCTACCCATTCAGGGCATTTTAAGGCTTCTGCAACATTTTTGGGAACAGGGATGCAATCAACTGCCGATAGGAAGGCTCGGTACGAGGGGGAAATGTGGTCATAGGAGACAAAGTGGGTAATGGGGTGTTTGGTAGTGCAGGACCTGACTCCCTTTCGTTAGGCAATAGGAATGTCAAGGTCATCCACAGTAGGAGTAGGGTTAGGGGGTGGACTTACCTCCTGGGAGTCTGATGATGTCAATTGCTCAGTGTTTGGTTGCTCCACATCTCTATCACACCGCTGATCTCTCCGACGTGTACGTTGGAAGACACAGAAGGGAGTAAGGTCCGGAATAGAAGGAAGAGATACCCGAACCTGCTTCTCTTCCACACTACGACTCTCCCCCTGAGGAGGAGGGAAGAATGGCTCGGACTCAAAGAATGACGCATCCATAGACACAAAAAATTTACGACTAACTGGATCAAAGCACCGATACCCTTTTTGAGAGGAGGGGTACCCCAAAAAGACACAAGGAATGGACCGAGGGTCTAGCTTACCTCGGGATGGAGACAAATCATGGACAAAGGCCCGTCAACCAAAGACTCTCATGGGGATGGAAAATAAAGGAGACTGAGGGTACAACAACTGATGAGGGGCCATGTAGTTCAGTACTCTGGAGGGCATGCGGTTGATGACATATGTAGCTACAAGTATAGCATCCACCCAAAACCTTTTTGGGACATTCATATGTAACATCATCCCGCGGGCTACCTCAAGAAGGTGTCTGTTTTTCCTTTCTGTAACACCATTTTGTTGTGGTGTTCTGGCGCATGAGCTCCTATGAATAGATCCGTGGGAAGCGAAGAACTCATTGAGCTCCCCATGGAAGTATTCCTTCGCATTATCAGATTGGAAGATCTGTATTTCAACATGGAACTGCGTAAACACCATCCTCTRGAAGTCTTTCACTATCTTTGGAACYTYGTCTCTGCTACRCATAAGAATTACCCATGTATAGCGAGAGTAATCATCGATCAATGTAATAAAGTACTTATATCCGCCCTCAGAGATTACATTGGTAGGCCCCCATACATCAGAATACACAACATGAAAAKGAACATTTGATCTTTTATTACTTGAGTGAAAAGTTGTTCTACATTGTTTGCTCAACTGACATGTTTGACACATGAACTCTGACACTGAACCAGACTTAAATAAAACTGGAAACAAAGATTTTATTATTTCGAAAGAAACATGACCTAAACGACTATGCCACAAGAAAATTTGACTCTTATTTGACTGACTATGCGACTCTGAGGATAACACCGAGAGACCAGTTTTGTTGTCGAGAATGTAGAGACCATCCACTAGGCTTCCTCTACCAATCGTCCTCCCAAAAGTTAGATCCTGAAAAACACGAGTCAGCAAAAAATGTCACACTACAATTCAAGGAGCTTGTAATGCTACAAATTGAAAGCAAGTTTATGGGAAGCTGAGGAACATGCAATACACAATTCAGGTTAAGGCCATGGGGAAGGGATATTGATCCTTGGCCTGCAATGGAAGAAAAAGAGCCATCTGCAAGTCTCACTCTATCCCTTCCTAACAAAAGGCTATAAGACTGGAATAAGTTAGGCTTACCGGTCATGTGGTTGGAGGCCCCCGAGTCAATGATTCAAGGGGAGTCTGTGGGAGTGACATGGAATGCAGAAGCCATATTACCTGAAGTAGATGCAAATGAAGTAGAGGGAGTACTAGTGACTGAGCTATCCATTTGCCGCAAGGCCCTACCATAAGATTCCAGGTGCTCTCTGAAGGAATTCAATATATCCTCCTTGGGTCAGACTTATTAGGGTGGTCCCGGGTACTACCGGCAACTTGAGTATCTTGGTTTGCTACATGCGCTGTGCTCATTTTCTTCAAATGACCTTTACCCTGTTCTTGATTCTTTGCTGCCCACTTTGGTTTCCCGTGGATGTCCCAACAAGTGTCACGTGTATGTCGTGAACACCTACAGTGGGTACAGAACAGCTTATCTTTATCATCCGCCTTCTTAGGGTCACTTTTCTCTCCCATGGAGATATTATTCATTGCAGCCAAGGCAAGTTGTTGCTCCCCCTCAGCTATAACCATCACATTCTGCCTGCTTTCTTCAGATTGGACAAGGGAGTATACCTCGTGAACCGTAGGCAACTCTTTGCTTCCTAGGATCTGCACCCTCAACGATTCATATGCAGGGTTCAGTCCCAACAAGAAAGCAAACACCCATTGCTGAGAGACCAGCTTCTTGTAGGCCTTAGCATCATTATCGTGCTTC